GTCCAAGTCACAGAGCTGCAGGCTCTTTAGTGCTCATTTCCTGAGCATGTCTAAGCACCTTTAAAGTGGAACATTTCCATTTGCAATGCTCTTTTTTTTCTCTGATGGTCCTTTGGCTCTTTTAGAATCATCTTTTATTGAAACAAGTGATAATTTAATTTCTAATATATATATGTGTATATATATATATGATTTTTAATTGCAGTGATATATATATATATATATATATATATATATATATATATATATATTCAAAATAAAACACATGAAATTCATTTGAAAGACAATCTCTGCCGCAACACTGTATTTTTTTTTAATCAAGTTTTCTTCTTGCCAAGCTACAACAGAATAAGTAATTCCATATGATGGTTCTATCTCTGTTTCCTTGTTTGACTGGGTCCAAAGAAAAGCACAAACAGAACAAATAAAGATAAAACCCACAGAGAGTGAGCTGTCTTTCATAGTTCGTGATGAGTGCACTAAAGCAGGAAGCCATCCACTGGGGAAAACTAATGCTTAACAGAGGGAGAGGAACAGAACTGTGCATCTTACAAACAGCGATAACATCCTCTTGGATCAAGAGGATGGTCCACAAAAGGACCCAAGGCAGACAGAAAGGAAGCAATATTAGCAACGAGCACGGGAGGAATGCAAGACTCTTACAAAGGAAGCATCTAGCATTGTGAGACAACGAGCATGTAACATTTCTCTAATTTACATCTGTGCTAATAAATGTCTCCATATTTTCCCTGGAGGGAGATCTCTTTCCTCCTGTATGGATTTGAATATGGAGTTCCATGTAAACCGGTGCACAGTTTGTGCCTTTACTGCAATATATCACCCATTCTCCTTTGAGATGTACAAATCAAAACCCACAGGTTCTAAGTGACTCGTTGGCAAGCACAGAAACTCCTGAGACAACCAAGGGCAGTGTGCCTCCAGGCTTTCAGACACTCAGTGCTCGGTTAATGTCACATTATTCTCAAAAAAAAGCAGTATCAAAATTGATTTCTTACATCCCATAAAGGGCTGTGTTAAATCATTCTGCCGACTTGTCTTTTTTGGCTGGGTAATTTGGGTTCATTATATCCTTTTTTGTAATGCTTCAATAATGAAGAAAATTATCAACCTTTTCTGAAAGTACACATGGCTCTCTCTCATAGCAGTTTTGCACATAGACATATGTATCAGTGGAAAGGAACAGCCTAGGTATGATGCTAGTATGTCCTGGTGTGAGTCTAAACATAGAGAGAGGGTTGGTAGCATGTGGTAGGCAAGAGGTGTGATCGACGAAGTGTGAAGTGGAGTCTGTTTTCAAATCCTAGGTCTCTACTAGCTGTGGTGAAGATGTCATCTTGGAGGACTGCAGGGAAGACTGCTAATGAGTTGGATGTGGGTGTCCCTTTTAAGTGAAGTACTCTCCCTCGTCTTTGAGACTCTCCCATGTACCTAGTGTGGTAATAAGACTACAGCAGCCAAGAGGCAGAACATACATAAAAGAGAACTTATTAAGATATTTATTCATGTACATTATAAGGATAATCATATATTATTTGTAAGAATTTCCGAACTACGTCAAATCAATGCTGCATAGCATTTTCACCCTGATCCGTCCTTCTGATGAACAAGATTTGGGAGGAACACTAAAAATTTCATTGTACTTCTGTGTGCTACGTATCACAGAACGTGATACTTGTACTATGGTGATGTTTGTAGATCTCAAGTGAGTCCTCCATAGGCAACCATGGGTAGAATATTAGATTCAAGGGAGCTCAGGAATTTGCATGTCAACCAAACAAACGGTTCCTCAATGAGGAAACAAGCAAGTCCCTTGGTGCTGATAAGATGACTTCCACACTGAGCTCATGGTGAGATTTTCAAGCTTGCTCAGGCCTTTGTTTTTCATGTTCTATGCAAAACCTCAGTTTCCAAATTTAATCGCACAGTACTGTCTTGTACACGCCCTCTCCTTTAACTTTTCGTAGGTTTTCGGTTTCCCCTGATCTGACTTGTCACTTTCATGAAGGCGGGTTTTATAGCTTCTATTTTAAGCTTTGGCTATTAAACATTGATTGCCCTGCCTTACAGTAATCATTTAATAAGGGCTAGTAATGATTAATATTTTAACGCATTAAAGCTGTTAAGAAATTTCTCTAAACAAATAAATTTGTTTTAAGAGTAATTTTGGCACAAAGGGGGAAAAATCTGGTTTTGAAAATGAAGTTTGCCTTCAAACATACACTTGAGTGTTCCAGATGCCTGCCTAATGTTATTCAGTCAATGACACTGGCTTTGACAAGTGATTACATGCATAATGGCTGAGGAGAGGGCAGAGGAGCCAGGCGCTAAGGTTTGGATGCTGAGTCAGTGTGGAACACACAACTCTTGGTTTTTGTTTTGCTTTGAGTTTTTTTTGTTTTTGTTTTATTTTCTTTATGATTCTAGGTTACAACCGAGATATTTTGCCTTATGTAACAACACCATTTATTCTGTTTAAGAAATGCTCTAATCTCCTATTCATTCAACAAGTGCTGACTGGCCCTCAGGTCCTAAGACCACAGAGATGGCCCTACCTCAAGCTTGCCCTCAAGAAAGTTACAAACTAATGAGGGAAACAAACAAACAAAGTCAGTTATCCTTTGTATTTGTTTTTTTCAGTCCATTCAAATTGCCATGACAAAAATATCAATTTGCTTATTACACAGAGCAGAAATTTCTTTCCCAAAGGACTGGGGGCTGAACACTGCAGGCTGAGGGCCCTTCATGTTGGGTGAAGGTTTATTCCTTTCACAGATCTCACATGATGAAAGAGGTGAGGCTACTCTCTGCACTGGGATCTTTTTAAGGAGGGTACTAATCCCCTCCTGAGGGTTCCACCTTTGGGACAGAGTCGCCTTCTACATATTTCATATAGTGCATAAGTAATTTTTTATTCTGTGAACTCTAGAATGCAGACTATGGCATTCATTAATTCATTTGTTCAAGTATCATCAACCAAGCCCAACTCCATATCTCTGCAAATGCAACATAAAGTGGAGCGCTTCACAGGAGCGCTTCACTCCAGTGATTGGTAGTTAAAGAATATAGTGGCTAATGTTAAAAACTGACTATAGCAAAGGATCATGAGGGCTAGAGAGCAAAAGTGTGATGTTTAAATAATATGGTCAGGATGATGGTCCATGAAGAAGGGGATATTTGAAAACTCAGATCAAAGCACTTGGCCAGTTGGAAAAAACATGTTAGTTGATTTTTCAATGCCATACACTGTTCAGCCAGTGAAAATTGGCAATACATAGAAAAACAACTTTAAGATACACCAATACAGGCTTCAGGTACAGCAGGGGTCTGTCTACAGAGAGTACATGGATTGAGTTGACATGAGTGCAGAAGAAGGGGTGTTAATAAAGGACATCCAGGTGCTGCTTCAGTTCAGATGACATTCCCGTTGCCCTTTGGGAACAGTAAGTCAGCAAGGCTACTAGAGGCTCAGGGGTCATAACATGGACATTCCTATGAGGGTGTTCAAAAGGCAAACTGGGATGCTTGGGTTGACTGTATTATTTAGCAATTACTTGTGAAAGACAGATGATGGAAAGATGATAGATGGACAGATGAATGGTAGATGACAGATATGTAGATACACACAGACAGATGGATGGATGATAGGTATGCCTAAGTGAAAGCCAGTAGGTCTCAAAAGTAGACAACTTCCCCTGGGAAATATTTGAGACTATATGCATTTATTTTTGTTTTATAACTTAAGGAGGTGGGAATAGTAGGATCTAGTAGGCAGGGATCACAGATGATACTAAACAATCCCCACAAAGACAATTCCTTTCCCATAACAAAGAATTATCGGAACGAAAACAAAAGTAGCCTCAATGAGGTGAGGATGTATAGCTGCATATATAAATTGTGTTGGGCACAAAGCCACCCAATCTTTGAAGATATTGAAATAGCAAAACAATAAGTATTATACTAGCAAAAAAATCCAGATTCTCTCTTTCTGCACACTCTGAAATGAGTGCTCAGGTGATGCATCCCACAGCATGGATAGACACTGCCCATGTGAGTGTGGCAGTGTTCACATGAGCACACACCCACATACACAGGGATGATGACTGAGAGCATGCAGGACACTCACACAACTACACACATCTCTGAAGCTACACACAGGGCATTCACATAGCCATACATATCTGTGCAGCTGTCTCTGTCCAGTCTCTGGCTGTTTATTTAACAGGGGATTTGTTTCTTGCTTGTAATTGACTGATAATTTTCTGGAAATTTCCAGTTTCTTAAAAGAGAAATGAACACAAGTGAGGCACTTCTTCCAGGGGATGTTGCCACCACTGTGAAGAAGCCTGAAACTGTAGTGCTGAGTTTGCCTTCATAGGCTGAGCATGGAAGCCTTTATGACCAACTTGGCAAGCTGTGGATGGCAGAATCTAAACTTGACAAGATTTGGGTCCTGATGAACTCTCAAGACATTGAATTAAATTCTGAAGATGTTTGCCCCAAAGTGATGGACACATACACTGGAAACAATCTTGTTTTTAATTGTCAAATTTCCTGGAGTCCTTTGTAGGCAAATGGGATCTTGATACTGTCTGAAAATGTCATATATTAATTTCTTGTTCAAAATATACTACGTAGATATTAAGGAATAGTACATATGACCACACATGTGTCTATGACTCAACATTCAACTTCCTAGATTTTAAACAGCAACACACAGAAGAAAGAGCTGAACACTGATGGGTGGTCTTGTCCATATCGGCTGACACTATTGGCTCTATTAGCCTGGCTTACAGTGCTGGAAGAATTACTCCTCCCCACAGTACTAAAGAATGTACTGCTATTTATCAGTGCTAAATGCATTATACCTTGAAGATGAAGATTTTGTTCTTCTTTATAAAGTATGACTGCAGTTTTAAGCAACAACTAGCCAAGTACCACAAACAAAACAACAGGAGGCTCGGGGTGACTCGGAGACTTACCATTGAGCCATTTTGAGTTGTACTGTGCAGTTCGAAGCGGAGGTAAGGTACCCAGACTTCGATAAATGGCTGGATCTCGTCCTGGGAAATCCATGGCTGTTGCAGCATAGAGCTCACCACTGGCAGTGAGTAGAGCTGTAGAATTGTGCTGGGGACTGTAGGGACAGCGGGCCATGCCACTGATCTGATCATGGATCTCAGTCAGGTTACTTAACTGTGGGTGAAGATGAGAAGAAAACGAGCTAACTCAGAAAAATCCAATCCAATGTGCTCATGTTCCACTTCATGCCACTGTTAGACACACGTGTCCCATGTATGCGCTGGGTGTGTGAGATGTAAGACTTTCCTAACTTTCACTTTCTGAAAGAAAACAGCTCTCTGTAACCTTGGCCAGAGAATATATCCTTGTAGTTACAGAACACCACGCTAGTGATACAATATAAAGCAAGACATGGCTTTGGCATAGGATGTGTGAATGTCGACTGCTTTCTACTTTAATGAAGAATCCAAGTTTAATATTTATAGATATGTGAATCATAAAAAGGAACTATGTTCATGGTATTAACCTGACAAAAAAAGATATCTTTAAATACTACCTAGTGATAAGCATGTGTCAGTATTCTGTACTGTGTTGTACACATTTCTTACATTTTTTCTTCCCTCCTGTTCAGTGCTGAAAAATCTGCATGTATGTCAAGTATCAACTGGCTTCCAAGATTCTGATTTCCATCTAATTAAACATGACTATAGCTTTTATTTTTCTTCTTTTGTATTGGAGAATTTTGACCAGACTCAATTCCAATTTGATTCTTGACTTTTAATTGAGTTAGAAAAAAAACATGAAGATGGTTTATGTAAAAACAGCAAGTTCACCTTCTCCTCCGCTTCTGGAAACATAGTCCTCAGGAAATTACACAAAGTCTTTACATCTCAGGGTTTTCCTTAAAAAAAAAAAAACTACCCCTCCCTCCAAGTAACAACTTCTTGGCATAGATATTGAGGATGAATTTAAAATTTAAAATAATGACCACTAAGCCTAGATGATAAGTTAAGGTTTTAGGAGGAGATGTAATATCCATAAATTAACATAATGGTGTTTCCTAGTTATATTTCTCAAAGATGATTAAATTAATATCCTGAATTAAGAAGATAGCATGCATATCTAATGGCTCTACCATGCTTCTACAGGGAGACTAGTAAGATGAAAGCCCCATCTATAGCAACAGTTATAGCATTACATTGCCCATGGATGGTTGCTCATTTTATTTTTGGCATACCTTGTATCCAGTTTATAGATATTTTCTTCCCATATGAGTTGTGATTTTATAGCACTTTAGCAATTGATAATATTTCTACCACTACGGAAATAAAAAAGAAGTATATGTTTATGATTGACGCTAAGCGCCATTCATTGGGAAAATGCTGACTGAAGTAGTTTCAAAGCATACTTCAATATGTAGTGTCCAATTAATTTCTGCTTTTTCATATAAATGACAGTCTTGGTTGATTAGAAGTAAACACATCAAGTATTTCTTCAAGGCAGCAATGTTGCAAAGGTGCTTTCCCTTGGTAAACAGAAACACTTTTACAATGGGGCTTTGAAATTCATCATGCTTGGCTGCTCCTGGTATAAGTTTGTTGAAGTTCAACATGGACACATACCGAGCGGATGGTACAGACAGGTGTGAAGGCATTGGTACCACAGGTGAATAGCCGGTCCCCGCCCACTAAGAGCACTCGTATGTAGTTCTGACATTCCTCCTGAAAAGCAAAAGTATAAGAAACACATTAATAATTCCTGAAGGCAGGAGGGATGGTGAGTTTCGATATTCTATGTCTGCTAGGCAGAGATAAAACAGCCCATCTCAAGTGTTGACTAAAGGCAACAATGACACTGTCAACCTTATGTCTAGACCCAGATACTTGGTCTGTAGATTGTATTTGCAAAGGCAAATGTGTATATAATTATAGCTTCCATACATATGTCTTCTTTTGACAAACATGAATCCATGTTGAATTGTACTACAAACCTTTAAGATTTCTGAAATACATATAAGAAAATAAATAATATTAAGTCAGTTGACACTGTTCATGAAAGTATTGGCTGCTTTAAAAAGCTCATGAGGCCTCAACCTTATGCAAAATGATTTACTCAACTAAGGAAGACTGAGAAAGGGAGAAATAAATAGTCTTCCCTAGGGAAGAGCATGTTGTGGATAGCCCTGGTCCTGTATTTGGATGCTAATTCTATTTTCCTGGGAGGGCCTGCAGATGAGGAGTGAATCAGTATACAGGTGAGTTCTTGTGAACCTTCTGCCCACCTTAATTTGTAAAATAAAGTCTAGAGCTGGTGATTGGGAAGTAGAAGGAGGTGGAGCAGAAAAGTTTGGGTGAGAGGAGAAGGAAGGAGAGGAGAGATGGCAGCAGCAGATGTCTGTGTCTTTAGCAGCCTCAGGTAGTTATTCATATCAAGATTAGGAATTGGGTTAACAATTCTAATTGTGTGGGCATCTTGTGTATTGAGTATTTGCTGATATATAAACCCATTGGATAATCTTTAAGCATTAAGAGTTTTATTTCTACCCTGTACTGGAATTGTTATATCTACCACACAGAGGTGGTGGAGTTGGTCCTAGACCCATGCTTAGAGCTATGGACTCCACGGGGCTGACTGGCTAGACAACAGCCACACCAAAGTCTCCTAGGTCCTGGGCCGGCAGTCCTGGCCAGCCAGTGCCTCTGCTAGTTTGGGAACTTAGAGTGGGAACATGGCAGTCAGGCTGGGAACTAGCCAGATTGCCCAATTTTTCTGATACGTCCTGCAACAAGAGCACACCAATTATTTATCTGATACCAAATGGTCAATCCTAAAAATGTAAATACAAGTAACATATATGGACTGAGATGGTTATATATATATGTATTTAGGAATACACTCACACATATACACAAACGTACACAGAAATGTAGCACCAGTGAATGACAAACTGGCCATGAATTTGGAAGTGAGCAAGGATAGGTTTATGTAAGATCAAGGATAGGTATATATGACAGTTTGGAGGGAGAAAAAGGAAGGGGAAATGACATAATTATAATATAAAAACTTAAGACAAATGATTTTAAAAAGAGAACACACAAGCCTTTTATAAACATGTTGTAGCTCTAACATTTTTCCACTCAGAAAGTTGCATATGGAAACTACACATTGGAAAAAGCTGATGGTTATGAGCTCACACTAATCAAAGTGTAATATATGCATGCATAGAAGTGTTATAATAAAACCCATTTTTGTATAATTAATACATATTAAAACTACATTAAATACATAGAAAATGTCTATAAACAATTTTTAACTCCTTTACACGTAATGATATAACTAGCAGAGAAGTATTACTCAGAATGTTTGAGGAAGAACCTTGAGGTGAGGAAAGTCTTACAGGTTCTCTCCTAGCAAAGCACACATATCTCCATAGCACTGATGGACACACAAGCAAGTGGTTACTTAACAGAAGTAGAGGAACAAGGAAAAAGAATTGTTTTAATTGAAGAACATAGATAGAGCTGTCAATAAGTAGGGTCATGTGACAGGAAGCTACCCTCTCATTCAGCACTTACTGATTTGATACTCTTTGTCCTAGAAGTTACCGTTTATGCAGGAAAACCAGGATCATAACATTTACACCATAGCTGTTCACATGCTAAAATGAGGGGAGAGGCTCTCCACTGCTCTAAAAGGGAAGGGAAGACAAGGCCGTGGGAAGATTTCCTGGAAAGAAAGTTTAAGGGGAGACTGTGATTCACTGGAGCTACCAGGTGGAGGTGCATAGAGGACCCATGCAGGACTGCACTGAACAAAGGACACAGGCCATACTAGGCCAGGAAGATGGACTATGCCTGGGCAAAGCACCTAGGAAGGAAACGCCACAGGATATGGAACATTCACCGTGTGGCAGCAAAGGCCATACAGGTCAGGGTAATGAGCGTGCATTATACTCTGAGCCTGAGTTGGCCTCATGTTTTTTTATCAAAGGACTACTCAAGAACCCATGTGGAAGAGTGTGATGGGTAGGGATGCTCCTCTATGACTGGGCTCTTTCCCCTCTGTGCCTGGACCAAGTTGAGCTAGGAAAGGACAAAGGCACAATGGGATACATCGACAGAGTCTGCCTATGGGACTAGCACAGAGTGCCAGGATGCTGAGGTGATTTGGTTCACATAGAAACCCTGACAGAATAGATTCAATAGTACAGAAGTTCTGCTCTCTGGTCACGTGAGCTTCTTCGATTTCAGTAGCAGTGTGGGTTTGCATTATCTGATCTGCTGCATAGCCTGGCTCATACAATGCAAACTGTTCACTCACATGAACTTGTTCTATAAGGAGAGTGAGATATCAAACATATGATTCTCTTCGCTCCACTGCTAATAAAAACAGCACAGCATGATGGACTGACAAAACTGTTCAGGAAAAAAAAACAATAGAAAAATCCAATTGAAAAAAAAAACAATAGAAATTCCAGAAAATTTGAAAAATAATTGTAAATAACTGTAAATATTTTGGAACTGGGACAGAACAGTTGGGGGAGCAAAGTTTGTTTTGTTACCAAATCCTATGGTGACTGGGGAAAGGACAGTAAAGTTCCATCCAGCAAGGAACAGTATTAAAGGCATCAGAGAGTCACACAGTTGCTCATCCCAGGGGTGAGGAGACCAGGGCAAACACACCTAGGGGTTTACAACAAATGGATCAAAGGGAGGGCAAACACAGGAAACCAAGACCCATCTGTATGAAGCATCTCCACCTAGATCTTCCAGAACACAGGGCTGAGTGTTCTTGATGAAATGAATGGATACACTGTCGTGATAATGACCCTGTAGTGAAGACTGGAATGGAAAATTACAGTGTATAGGGTACAGAATCCATCCATTTCCATTTGCTGCTCCTTGAATTTTTTCAAGAACAACATGAGACATAAAAGAAATTTTCTTCTTATAGCAAGAGGCCACCCCAAGGAGAGTCTCACTAGAGAGAACCACTCTGCTATAAACACAGCCAAGGGGAAATTGTTTCAGCTGAAAAGACATGACCCACTGCTGATTTCTGCAGACCTGGCAAGGAGAAAACATGCAATCCAGTCAGCTATGAAAGAAAAGGGAGCAACAGATATAACAAACAGGGTGTTTATGCAAATCCCCCAAATAAACACCCAGCGTCAATGAGACAGAACACTGTTACCATCCTGAAGACCTGTCGCAAGCCTGGTGAAGAAGCGGGAGGTCAGAAGAGGTGTGGGATGGAGAACAATGTAGAGAGAGACACAGAAAGCTCAAGTGGTTCCTTAATCAAAGAGACAAGGGAGAGAAAGCACAGGAAACTGTTTCAACTGGAGCAGAGGCTAATGGGGCATGCTCTGATAATTAGGACTTTGTAAGAATTCACTAGGCCTTGACCAGTTTTCCCAACTGTGTGTCAGGAAGGAAGGAAGTCATGGTGAGTGCTGTGGTGGTCAGAGAAGGAGGCCAGTGCATCATCCATCTTTCTGTCATGATGGGAGACAGACACAGCTTATAGAAACCCCAGAGGGCTTGTGAAGCATGGAGCCTATTGAGGGCCATAGAATACATTCTAGAAGACCTCAGTCATATGGACTTCCATCCTCACGGCATAGTAGAGGTCAGTGAAGAAGTCTGAGTAGTCACCAGTTGGATCCAATCAAGCTGAGCTCACTCACAGGCCTTTAGGCATGGCAACCAGAGGTGGGCCACATCTCTATGTGTTCATCACAGCTTACCCATGGCTTAAGTCAGCTCACAACCTTCCTCTTAATGACTCTCTCCTCTTTCATTGATGAACTACCACCACTGATTTGAAAAGAATTGGGTGTGGACAACATATTCTTAATAAATCTTTTTTTTTTTTAAAGAAAGTCTAGGACAAGTTCAAGCAAAATAAAATGCAAAAGTGGCAAGGAACAAAGTTGACATATTTAGCATCAAGGCACAAGATACATCTCAAGATCAGAGAGTTGAAGAATGAACAAAATTGGCATCGAGTGCCAGGGTGGTAACAGTCGGTCCTGGGACAATGATTTTCAGGCACAGACTAGATGCTAATGTCTGCAACAAACTCAGTTCTTTGTAGGTTACTTGGCCTTGCCAAAAATAGTACTTGGTATCACCACTTTGAAATATGGGCAGATGTGTGGGCAAATGATTCTTCAGTGGGCAGTTCACTGTTTTATCTTACAGAGAAGCATATTGAAATGTCTATGGACCCACATTTTATCAATTTTTCTCCCTTTCTATTCCATTTCTGTACTGTGGAAACAGATGAAGATGACTTATTGAATTCGGATTCTCCAGCAGTCAAAGGGCACATCTCAGAGACTATCCAAACCCAGCTACTACACGGCCTCTGTGATTGGTGATGAGAGTCATCTATCGATGTTTGGATAATTCTACTCTAACACTAAAATAATCCATTTGTGCCTGCGGTCCGTGCATGGGTCAACTTGTTTTTCATTTTCAGAAGATCCTACTTCAATTGATCACTGAGAAACACAGTCAAGATGTAGAAAAAACTTCCTGATGGGGAAAAAACAATGCCTACTTGAGATCATGGGCACAGCCTCCAGTCTTCAAGTGAGACAACATGTTTCAGGACCCTTTCAGTTTGAATTATCTGTTTTGCCTTACAACATTTCATCATTTCCTCTGCCCCTACCAAATATGTTGTGTTTACTGAAAAACGTGTAGCTTTGTGC